ATTGGCCAACTCAGTCTTCAGTCATGGAACTTCAGAGATTCCTTGGCTTTGCCAATTTTTACCGCTGTTTTATTTGAAGCTTCAGTACTATTGCTGCTCCACTGACTACCTTCCTGAAGGGTTCTCCCGAAAGGCTTCATTGGATGAAACAAGCAGAAACTGCTTTCTTAGCACTTATAGAAGCTTCTTCCACAGCTCCTATACTTAAACACCCTGACCCTTCTGAACCCTTTGTAGTTGAGGTTGATGCTTCTCACATTGTTCAGGTAATCCACAGAAGCTTCACCCAATTGCATTCTGTTCACACAAGTTGACACCCACTGAGAGAAATTATGGCATCGGAGACTGTGAACTGCTAACCCTAAACCTTGCATTGAGGAGTGGTGTCATTGGCTCGAGGGAGCTAACCACCCTTTCCTTGTGTTAACTGACCACAGTACCTACGAAATGCAAAACGACTCAATGCCCATCAAGCCCAATGGTCCCTCTTCTGCTCCAGATTCATTTTTAATATTACATACCGTCCCGGATCTCGAAACACTAAAGCAGATGCTTTGTCACATAGTCACCAAGATAACTCTGCTGACTCTGCCCAGTCTGACTCAAAACCAATTCTACCTCCTTCAGTGACTGTGTCCTCTATATGGTGGGAGATAGATGAAGAGTCCCCATTCGACCCTGGTCACACACTGCTGTGGATTTCATCACTGACTTACCCGAGTATACCAGGTTATACCACCATACTCACTGGCAATGACCGTTTTTCACAAGGTGTCTTTTTTTTACATCCATTCCCACTGCTATTCAGACAGCTGAAGTATTATTTAATAAAGTATTTGTTTTGTTTTTTTTTGGAATACCAGAGGATATTTTATCAGATAGAAGTCCCCAATTCACTTCACAAGTGTTGTCTCCTTTTTTTGAACATGTAGGGGTGTCTATTTTTCTGTCTTCTGGGTATCATCCACAATCTAATGGGCAATGTGAACCCATGAACCAAGATCTAGGGAAGTTTCTTAGAATGTTTTGTCATGACAATCCTTCAGACTGGTCAAAATTCCTCTTGTGGGCCGAAATCGCCCAGAACTTCTTAATCAGCTCAGCTACCGGACTTTCCCCATTTCAGTGTGTCCTTGTTTACCAGCCTCCACTAGCACCATGGACAGGCATCATCACAGATACCCCAGCTATCGATGCCTGGATGCAGAGGAGCAAGCGGGTCTGAGAGGAAACTCACCAGAAGATAGAGGTCGCCCTCTGCAAGAATAGGAGCAGGCAGACTGTCATCAAAGTGACACTCCCGTATACCAACCCGGAGACAGAGTGTGGCTTTCTACAAGGGACTTCAGAGCTATTGAGGGAAGTAGAAAGTTGCAGCCTAAGTACAATGGTCTATTTAAAGTGCTAAAATGAGTTAATGAAGTGACTTATAAGTTAGATTCGCCCCTGTTTCAGAATGTCTCGCTCATTCCATGTTTCTTTGTTGAAACCTGTTATTTCAGGGCCGCTGGATGAGGCTACTCCAGGCGTCACACCACCCCCTCCAGGGGTGATAGATGAAGCACCTGAGTTTGCTGTCCATTGGTTGCTGGACTCCCAGACACATGGAGGTGTGCTCCAATTGGGAGGGATATGGCCCTGAGGAGCAGTGTTGGGTCCTCACATGAATGTACTGGATCCTGGTTTGATTGTTGACTTCCATAGTCGTCACCCAGAGAAACCTGCTCCTCGACCAAGGGACCGACCTCAGAAGGTGCCCTCCAGTCCACTTCCTGAGACTCTGTTGGGTCATCGTGGACAAACCCTATCTGGCCACCGCCGCGGCAGCTTGGGCCCTGCTCCTGTTCGGTCCTTCGGATGTGGGCGTGGTGGTTGTCCTGGTCGGCCTTGTTCTGAGGCCATCCCAGACTTTTTGGGGGGGGTGCTGTCACAACTCCGTTCAGCTCAGAGGTCTCTTTGGATTCCATCTCCCAGAACCCCCTGGGGCATCACATGACTGAACCCCTGGGGGATTCACTCTCATGCTCCAATCAGCGCTCTAGCTCTCCAGAGTACTGATCATGTACACCTGCAGCTCATTGATTAGTTTAGTATAAAGCCCAGGCCTGTGGGATAGGTTCTTTGCAAGGTATTGCTTCTGTCTCTAGAGCTACTCAGCGTTCATATCTGTTTGTTTTTCTGGTTCTGACTTTTATTTCCTGTTTTTGACTTACCTTTTGCCTGGCCCTTTTTCAGATTGTTTGCCTGTATGTTTGTGCTTCTGTGTTTTCCTTTTTGGATCTGACCTATACCTGTTTATTGACTTATTTTGGATTGTGTTTTCATCAGTAAAGCCTCTTATTCTACTTTTACCCACAAGCGTCTGCATCATTCTGTTTGCATTCAAACTTTGCAGGTGTGATAGTGTTGCAAATACAACCTATAAATAAAAAATAAACTTTTGATTCAGGTTGAATGTTACATTCTTAAAACTCATTGCTCATTGAAATGAATTAATACTGTTTTTACCAGTGGTCAGTTTATCAGATAAGTCCTTCACTTCTGTTTGTGTCACTGTGCTCACTTGTCCAAACTTTTGCCGTTGCGATGTTGCAATCACAGAGCAGATATTTAGCAAGAGTGTACAAAGGATATTTGATTCAGTGATGACTATGTTGCCTCTGACAGTGACACCACCATCATCAAATTCGCTAATACCAATATCATGGGATTGATCACTGGGGGGTGATGAGATGGGCCTATTGGACTGAGGTGGTCAACTTGGTGGCATGTTGCCAGGTCAACAATCTAGGCTTAAATGTTGGAGATGTACTAGAGGAGGGCACAGCAGCATAAACCACTTATCCAGGTCCTCAGGAAGGCCCACAGAATAATCAAGAACAAAACCCACCCTCAACACAATCTATTCACAATCCTCCCATCTGATGGATGGGAGTGTGAAATTAAGATACCACATTACAAAACAGTTTCTATCCCCAGACCATCTGGCCAGTGGTGTGTTCTCAGACCCCCCTCCACACCCCCACCACACCCATTACCTCTCTCCATTAATGACTTTCATGCACTACATTGTGCAATTCAAAAGTAGCTGCTATATAATATGTTTTGCAGCAATAACAGCTTCCACTCTTCTGGGAAGCTTTCTGCAAAATTTTGGAGAGTGTCTGTGGGAAGTTTTGCCCATTCATCCAGAAGAGCATTTGTGAGGTCAGACACTGATGTTGGACAAGAAGACCTGGCTCACAGTCTCCATTCTAGTTCATCCCAGGTGTTTGATGGGGTTGAGGTCAGGGCTCTGTGAGGGCCAGTCAAGTTCTTCCATGCCAAACTCACCCAACAATGCCTTTATGGACCTTGATTTGTGCACTGGGGCTCAGTCAGACTGAAACAGAAAAGGGCCTTCCCCGAAATGGTCAGAAGCATAGAATTGTCCAAAATGTCTCGGTCTGCTGAAGCATTAAGATTTCACTTTACTGGAATTAAGGGTTCTAGGCCGGCCCCTGAAAAACAACCCCAGAACATTATACCTCCTCCACCAAACTTTACAGGCACAATGCAGTCGGGCAGGTAACGTTCTTCTGGCTGTTGCAAAACTGAGACATGTCCATCTGACTGCCAGATAGAAGAGTCCAGAGTTTGCATGGTCTACCGCATTGTGGCTAAGCTGATGCTCTTAGGTGCTTCCATTTCAGAATAACAGCACTTACAGTTGACAGGAGCAGATTTAGCAGGACAGAAATTTCACATAGTGACTTGTGGCAGAGGTGGCATTCTATGATAGTGCCATGTTTAAAGTCACTGAGCTCTTCAGTTCGACACATTTTACTGACAGTGCTTGTCTATTGAGACTGCAAGGCAATGTGCTTCATTTTATCCAGCTGTTAGCAATGGGTTAGGAGGTGCCGTGACAAGGCACAGCACTGGCATGGTTGGTCAAGGCAGAGTGTCAGAGCTCCAGCGTACGCAGGCAGCAGCCTCTGCTCTGCCGCCCCGGGGAAGAGATGTGGCCCTGAGGGAGGACTGGTGATGCACATGGTCATGAATATATGCCCACATTGTGTGTGTTTGCTGGGATGGTGAACACTCTGTAACCCTTCTGCGCAGCGACTGTGAGGTGGGGGGAGTGGCGTTTCCCCATGCACCCTAAAACTCTCTGCTCAGACTTTGTTCGGACTTTGTGGGGTCGCCAAGATGGCTTCTCTGAAGTGGGAGAGCAATGTAGTACCTGCCACTACCGGCTTGTTCAGCTGTGGATGTGTGGGAGGCATGGCCATGCGGAGCAGCGAGCGTGGAGCACCATGGGTACCACCATGGCAGCGGTGAGAGAGATTTAAGACATGTGAATAGTTGTTGTGGTCTAAGCGGTGTGCATATGTGTTGTTTGTTGTTTGTGGGCTGGCTGGGTGGTTTTAGTGGTCACCATGGACTGGCTATGTGTTGCTGAACATGAACTTCTTGGCCTTTCAGCCAGTCCTTGTGGTAAATGTTCCCTGCTACATGGTTAATAAAACAGCACTCATTTGATGCAGTATATATATATATATATATATATATATATACATATATATATATATATATATATATAGTCGTTGTCTAACATGCATTGAAAGTACAAAACATTTTTGCACTCAGCAATGATAGCAGTACATTCTATATGTTATGCTATTTTACTCTGTAGTTATACAGTATAATCATTGTGCCGTGTAACTGTCTGTTTCTCTGTGCATAGGACAAATTCTTGAATTTTCATTCTGGGTTCCTGGATAATAAGCAGTCCAAACTACAGGCCATTTATTATCAGAGTTAATATTAAAATACACCAATAATTCACAGTCTGATCTTAATAGTAAATACACAGAATACTTGTGCAGCTGAAAATTACTGACTTCAATCTAAGCTTACATCAGGTGAATCCCACCCATGAGTTTGTTTGCCAGTTACAGGAATGTCGTTAATGAATTTTCATGCTGACTCATATGTGCTATAGTGTAGGAGGGGTTTGAGGGTCCAGCAGGGTTTAAAAGCTTTCGAGTATGAACACTTGTCTAATGTGAAAAGCAACACCTTACAAGTAAGTTACATTTTATGTTTTAAATTCAACATTGGTAGATTATGTTCAGTAATATAACAAGGTATCGTTACCATTACTAATAAGTATCATGACAAGATGTCATAATGTTTGGTTATAATGGCTAACAATACACAGCAAAATGAGCATGTCAGTGAAATGTAGCTGCTTACGTAAGTAAATACTGCCACAATATGAAAACAAAATCACAAGTTTCTATGTAAATCCTCATGCTGTCTTCATGTTGAATGGACATTCATGTTTGTATATTATATGTGTGTAAGTTTGTGTATTATTGTTTAATTCTGTCCAGGTCCAGGTCTGCTTCAGAATCAAGCTTTCAGAGAATCAAGGTCTTTGTCTGTTGAAACAGCTGCCTGAAAAAATGACAGTAAGCTATAGTTTACTTATGCTAATGTGACTATTCTAAATGTGGATTGGACTTATTCAAGGTTTATGTGTTTTGTTAACCCTCACTTTTTCTCATAGATGTAAAAAAATATCTTTGAAAGAAAATTTAAATGTACAGAAAAGCAGGTAGTTTAGTCTGAACTTCACTCAACATACCTGAGTAAATATCAGTTTATGAGTTTACTGCACTTTCATGCTTTCTAACTTTTTCCCAAACGTTTTATTTTCTATTAGTGTACTATTATTATTATTATTATTAGTAGTAGTAGTATTGTAATATTTGTGTATGCATTCTGTGTGTTGTACTTTTTACTATTTTAATATTTAAATGTTTATTATGTCTCTCAATCTCTTTGTCTGTTCTGCAGTTCAGAGTGCTTATGGCTCTAGTGCTCCCCCTGTTGGTTGCGAGTGACTCAGTTTCTCAGACCGACTGCTCTGATATCTCCACTAATGCAAATGGAGTTTACACCATCTACCCTGCAGGTGACACACCTGTACAGGTGTACTGTGATGTGGGCTGTGATGGACAAGTAGAGTATAAGAAGTGGACGGTATGTTAGACTTTATCTCTACCCTAGAACTGCAGTACTGAGGTCAATTCCTTTTTACAGTCTATTAGCAACATCGTTATTAAAGAAACTATGGTTAGCATACAGTTATATTTATAAAGACATCCAAAATGTGTAATCTGCGTGGTTTAACAAGTCACTAATAGAGACACTTATAAATATCAGTGGTGGACTGTAAGAATAAGCCATCAATTACTGTACATAAGTACTTTTGCAATATCTGTACTTTTATAGAAATTAACTTCACTGCTTTCAGCAGGATACTGTGAAGTAAAATTTTCTGGTATTGCTTTGTTTTAAGATCTGCTTCTTAACAATTCATTGACTATAAGCAAGCTGTTAATAATGCTAATGCAATTATTCTTACACTTTCAAACACAGTGGGCACACACTAGCATTGTAAAATAAGTTATCAGCTGTTTATGAGTTCTGCTTAACAAGACAAACATTCATAAATTGTATAAGTACACTTGTGTCTGATCATTTATTAGCATTTCTATCATATTTGCTCATTGTGAATTCAGATAATTATCACCTGTTCGTAATTCTTGATTAAGATGTCTCATAAAGACATAACAGGTATGCTTTTAACTAAAAGACTACAAATAATTGACACTAAACTCATTGGACAAAAATAATAACTCACCTTGATAACCTGTCTTATAAATACTGTAGCATTCATTGGTATTAAAACAGGCATAGCTTTCACACAAGTAGTAGTGCTTTATTAACCAGCTGTTGTTAATAAGGCCACAGCCACACTGTACATAAGCAAAGCTCATGGCTAAGAGCTCTCTCTAAGCTTCAATCTGGACTCATGTCTGCACTCTATCAGCTCCCACCCCACCCTGAAAAGACAAACAAGCTCCACCTTCACAGTAAGTGTCTTTAGCAGAAAAACAATGTGAATAAATGCAGAAGTCCTGATAATTTAAAATTAACTTGCACACATTTCTTAAACACGCTACAATACATTTATACTTCATTTTAAGCTTGTTTACAGATGGTGTGTTTGTATTTATTAGAGCATTATCAAATGTTTGTTAATGGTTTAGTTATCGTTAAGAAGAAGATCTTAAAATAGTAATGGTGGCAGATGGAAACAGACACAATCAAGGCTAGATGTGAGAAATTTAATCAAAGGGTTGATCCAAAAGCACAGTCGAAAAACAGAAGCAAGGAGTCCAAAACCAGGAATCCAAAACTAAGCAAAAGGGCTGGGGAATATAGGTCATACACAAAAAAGGAAAAACAGACATCAGTATGCTCAACATAGAGCTGATACCTCACAATGAGTCTTTGTAAGCAGGCAGTTTATATACATGGGAAAACAGGTGTGTGGTAATCACAAGTCTGGTGATGCTGAGCGGTGGATCCATTGTAGTTCTGAGTCATGTGACGAAGCAAGGGGTTCTGGGAATTGTTGTCTGAGGTGGCCATGTCAGCTATAGTTTCAGCCAGGCCAGAGGGAGGCGTGACAAAAAAGGGGTTTCCAATTTTGCATAATATACTAAAGGATATGATGCACTTTTACAATCCATATCACTCCCCTGAACACTGGACGTTAGGTCATAGCTGTAACTAGGCCTAGACAGCCTCAATAAGCTTTCAGAACTAAAGGAAATGCCATAATGAAACGCCTGTGTGAGGTATTTTGAAATCAGCCAGTATCACAGAGGTGAAGTTTCACCCTTTCACCTAAACTGAAGACACAAGAGAAGAAATATTGGATCATTAGAATCTCACACTTCTGTATTTTTAGCCAACTAAAATATAAACAGAGCACTTATACCTTGGCTTGAGTAATATTCTGCTATAGTATCACGGCTTAAACAGTGAAAAAAGTCCACCTGCTCTATACTGTTTACATGAAAATTTACATTTATTTTAGTCTGAGGAAGTTCTGTGAGAAGTCTTTACAGTGTGTATGACTGCCTTTATTCCACTTAAGTAATAAATGTTATCTTTACACCAGTTGATTCAGAGGAGAATGGATGGCAGTGTGAACTTCTACAGACCATGGGAGCAGTACAAGAAAGGATTTGGGAACATGAATGGAGAATTCTGGCTGGGTGAGAATTCATTATCTTTCAGAAACACTGTGTAGAGACCAATTCATTTCATTTATGTAATAAATATTGTAAATGATTTGCACTTTTAGACCAGAACATTAAAAAAAACCCTCTCTTTCATTTTCCTGTGCACCCTCAGGATTAGAGACTCTCTACCAGCTCACCAGCAAGAGAAAGTATGAGCTGAGAGTGGACATGGAGGACTTTGAGGGAGCGAAGGCTTATGCCCTGTACTCTTCTTTCTCTGTGGAATCTGAAGCCAATGGCTACAAACTCAACGTTGCTGGATTCTACAATGGAGGAGCAGGTGAGATAAAATTAATGATATGGAAAATAATGGAGATGGATGTTGAAGTGCAGATTTTGTCATGATCGTACTTCATCCTTATACGTATATGGGTGAGACAACAACTGCTCCTGTACTTAAAGGGGCCAGTCCATTAAAGCAGCAGGCTGTAGTTTGACAATGCATTTAATAACAAGTACACTCTCAGAAAAAAGGTATGAAAGTACCCCTCTTGTCACTGGAGTACATCTGAGTACCTTTGGTCAGGGAACATAATTGTACTGTAATCCATTGAAATTATATAAGCTGTATTGACTCCACACATCCAGGCTTTTTATTTTATTGTTCTGTTTTAAAAAAAAATACAGCTTATTTAAATATATAACATATTTAAGATATAACATATTTAAGGGTCACAACTGGACCTTCAAACCACTGTTGTACCTCTGAGAGCACATTTACACTGTTTGTACATTGATGAACAAAAAAATGTACCTACACAGAACCTTTATTTCTAACAGCATAGGATGAATTATAAGTCAAAGTCAAAGTCAAAGTCAAGTTTATTTATATAGCGCCTTTTACAACAGATGTTGTCACAAAGCAGCTTTACAAAGAATCCGGGTCCACGCCCCCAGTGAGCAAGCTTTGGCGACAGTGGCAAGGAAAAACTCCCTCAACAGGAGGAAGAAACTTTGAGAGGAACCAGACTCAAAAGGGGAACCCATCCTCCTCTGGTCGACACCGGATAAGAGGACAGACACAAAACAGTATAAGTGGATACAGTTTAACACCACTGTGCAGTGCGCCGGCTGCATCAGTCACGTCAGACCCTCTTAGGACAGGCAGCCGCTCAGCTCAGGGAAAAAGAGGGGGAGAGGGAAAGGGGGGGGGTAGGGGGGAGGGGGGATAAGAGGGACATAGTTAGGAAAACAAATTAACCAAAGGCTCGACTAAACAGGTAAGTTTTTAGCCTAAACTTAAAGATGGAGGCTGTGTCTGAGTCCCAAACACTGACTGTTAGGTTATTCCAAAGCTGGGGGGCGTTGTATGGAAAGGCTCCTCCCCCTGATGTAACTTTATTAACTCTAGGTACTAATAATGAGCCTGCGCCTTGTGATCTAAGTGGGCATGTCAGTTGATAGTAGGAAATAAGGTCACTGAGGTACTGAGGAGCAAGGCCATTCAAAGCTTTATACATCAATAGAAGAATTTTGTACTCAATGCAGAATTTAACTGGCAACCAATGTAAGGTACACAAAATTGGGCTAATGTGGTCAAATTTCCTGGTTTTGCTGAGAACGCTGGCTGCAGCGTTCTGGACTAACTGAAGCTTGTTAAGGTTTTGGCTGGAACAACCAGAAAGCAGAGCATTACAGTAATCTAACCTGGACGTGATGAAGGCGTGAACTAACGTTTCTGCATCCTGTAGTGACAGTGCATTTCTTAATTTAGCGATGTTACGCAGGTGGAGGAAAGCTATTCTGGTAATATTGGTAATATGCTCATCGAAGGCCAGACTGGGATCGATTGTGACACCAAGGCTTTTTACAGATGTGCCTGGTGCAATTGAGAAACTATCGAGCTTAAGAGTAAATGTAGGCAGATTATCCCTAGCAGCTTTTGGACCCAGAAGAAGAAGATCTGTTTTTTCAGAATTTAGTCAGAGGAAGTTACTTGACATCTATTCTCTAATGTCCTTGACACAGTCCTCTATCTTATTAAGTTCAATTTTGTCCTCTGGTTTAGCTGAAATATCTAATTGTGTATCATCGGCATAGCAGTGGAAACTGATGCCATGTTTTCTAATGATGGTATCTAGTGGTAGCATATATAAGGTAAATAATATGGATCCTAAGACAGAGCCCTGTGGAACACCATACTTTACTCTTGTGAGAGCTAAAGGGTTACCATTTACATTTACAAACTCATAGCGATCACTAAGGTAAGATTTGAACCACGAAAGAGCTTTACCTGTCACTGCTACTAGTTTCTCAAGCCTGTCTAATAGAATGGAATGGTCTATTGTGTCAAAAGCTGCACTAAGATTGAGTAAAACCATTAAGGATATGTTTCCTTTGTCAGCGGATAATAAAAGATCATTTACAATTTTCACTAACGCTGTTTCGGTACTATGGAGAGGCCTGAAGCCAGACTGAAATTTTTCATGTATATCACTCCTATGCAGATGGGAACATAATTGTTTTGCCACTGCTTTCTCTAAAATTTTTGATAAAAAGGGAAACTTTGAAATAGGTCTATAGTTTGATAGCTCAAAGGGGTCAAGACTAGGTTTCTTTATTAGGGGTTTAATTACACCTAATTTAAGAGACTTTGGAACATAGCCGAGGCTGAGAGAAGAGTTTATTATAGATAGAAAAGGCTTGGTTATTTCTGGCAAAACGTCTTTAAGTAAACCTGTAGGAATAGGATCTAGTATACAAGTTGTTGTTTTTGAAGATGAAATAATTTGGACAAGCTCTGTTTGTTGGAGTAACTTAAAAGACTCCAGCGTCTCTGTAGTGGTTATACTGCACTCTAGATCTAGATTAGGTTTATAGGACACTGCACTGCAATGCTGCACATTTTGGATTTTGTGCCTAATCAATTCAATTTTATTACTGAAGTTCATGAAGTCAATGCTGCTGTAGGCTGATGGTATTTGGGCTTCAGTTGCTGCTTGATTATTAGTTAATTTAAAAAAAATGTGCTGAATAGTAGTCTAGGATTATTCTTGTTATTTTCAATCATTGACGAGAGATAGGCTGAATGTGCTGACTTTAGTGCTTTCCTATAGTCTATAAGACTCTCCTTCCAGGCAGATTGGAAAACCTCAAGTTTAGTCTGAAGCCATTTACGCTCTAATCGCCTAACAGTCTGTTTCATAGCTCGAGTACGGTCATTGTACCATGGAGCGAGTCTTTTCTGCCTTATTCTTTTACTTTTTAGTGGAGCCACATTATCTAAAGTAGAGCGAAAAGTGTCTTCCAAACATTTAGTCAGTATATCTAATTCATTAGGTTCAGACGGACAACTAATTAAGGACGAAAGATCTGGAAGGTTTTCAATAAAGCTATTGGGTGTAGACGATGTTATAGTACGTTTAACACTATAGCGTGTGGATGAACATATATCACGACTAAAACTGATTTCATATGAGATTAAGTAGTGATCTGACACTGCTGTGGTCTGAGGAAGGATGGCCAAATGCTTAATGTCTATACCTAAGGTCAATATTAAGTCTAGAGTGTGGTTACAGTAATGAGTAGGCCCCATAATATTTTGAGTGAAGCCAAAACAGTCTAAAATAGATACAAATGCCTTACTTAGCGGATCCTGTGGTTTGTCTATGTGGATATTAAAATCTCCAACAATTATTACTTTATTTGAGATTGTTATTAAACTAGATAACAGGTCAGTAAATTCCTGTAAAAACTCAGAGTAAGGCCCCGGTGGCCTGTAGATTATGATGGGTGAAAATGAGCTCTCATTTGTTCCTCGATTACTAACATTGAGAAACTGAATTTCAAAGTTTTGTCCTAAAGTATTGGTGTAAATGGTTGCTATGCTTCCACCCCGACCGTTTAAGCGAGGACTATGTACATAGCTATAGCCTGTCGGAGTGGCTTCATTTAAAGCCAAGTACTCTTCAGATCTAATCCACGTCTCTGTTAGACACAGAGCATCAAAGTCGTGATCAGTAATAATTTCATTAACAATGACGGCTTTAGGTGTGAGATATCTTATATTAAGCAGTCCTAGTTTTAGACCAAAGGTGCGGTCATTGCAGAGTGGTACAACTGGTCTGATATTAATCAAGTTACTAGAGCAAACACTTCGAGGCTTTTTGATGCATTGTTTTATTCGGGGGACAGACACAGTCTCTATTGGGAGAAACCTATGAGCATTTGTATTTATAAAATAAGCTTTTTTATCAGCACTTGCCTTATTTACAATGTAAGTGCTAGTTATCGTCTTATTTTCAGTGCTAACACTAACATTATAAGCTGTAGCGTTTCTAATTTTGGCGCTACTTACGTGGCCTTCGGTGTGTAGTCAGTGGATGGCCCTCTCGATGTTCCTAGAGAGGACAACAGGTCCGACATGATTAGGGTGGAGGCCATCCCTCCGCTAGAGCACTGGCTGTTCCAAAACGAGGCCCAGTTGTCCACGTAGGCCAAGAGGCACGAGCACCTGGAAGACAAGAAACAGTGGCATGGCTGTTTTTAACCTTTACTTTAACGTGGCGGATAATAGAGCTACCAATAACATAAACGGAGTCCTGTGTAGAGGTCCGGGGCGCTGGGGCGGGCGGCAAGGTCCGGCGCGCTGGGGCTGGCGGCGAGGTCCGAGGTGCTGGGGCGGGTGGCGTCGAGGCCCGGGACGTAGGTGAGGGCGTAGGCGGTGTACTGAGGGCGGCGAAACGGTTGCCGGAGGTGAAGATCAGCTGGGGCGGCAGTGAGGGTCTGCAGGGCCCTCTGCGGCGCTGGCATTCCCAGGGACCATGCGGGGCTGGCGTGAGAACGGCATCTACCGGCGTGCGGAAAGATGAGGCTGGCGCCACCACCGAGGGGGAAACTTTCCGGGCGGCTTCGATCATCGACTTCCGCCGAAGGAGCTCGTCCTGCTTCTTCAGTAGGGCGGTGATCTGCCGATCCAGCTGGGCCAACTCTGAGCTCAGGGTTCTGGGCGGACACCATGGTGGATGGGCTGAGGGAATAACTGTGAGAGAGAACTGTGAGAGAAAGAGAGGGGGAGAAGACAAAATAAGAGGGAGAGGTGTGAGGGGGTTAGCGGCCTGCTAACTGCAGAATTTTCAATTCATTTTCAAGTAAAGTTGGGACGCTGCTCGATCTGAAGTTCTAAGATGCGCTGCTCTCTGTCACTCGCAGTGACGTGCTCTCTGTCCATTAAGAGCTCCTTTCACTGAAACTAAGGGGCCGAGCCCAACTCCTGAAAAACAACCCCACACCATAACCCCCCCTCCACCAAACTTTACACTTGGCACAATGCAGTCAGACAAGTACCGTTCTCAAACCCAGACTTGTCGATCAGATTGCCAGATGGAGAAGCGTGATTCGTCACTCTAGAGAACACATCT